AAACAACCTGATTCCACAGAGTGCTGAACTTGACACAATTTCATGTGCGCTTTTGTGCGGATGCGAAAAGACGCGACGAGACACATTCTTTATAGGCCAAACAGGAAATCTCAAGTCAATAGTGCTGAGGTGAATAATATGAGGTGCCTAGCACGTGCATAGGCGCGCATTCTGTGTTTGCTTTTAGGTGGACACGCAAGTTGATAAACACACATTAAAATTGCGACGAAGGTTGCGCTCATGATCAAGTCAAGTGACCGTCGATGAAGCGTTAACCCGCGTCTTCCAAGTGTGCAATCAATATTACCATTCGTGCCAAATACTCACTGAACTCCGTGGGCCAATTTGCTGCACTTTCGCTCTCATTCTCATTTCACTGCGCCCTCAGGTGATCGACACTGGCCGAAAGATGTGTTAACACACCCCAAAATTGCCAAACATCATCAGCATTTCTCTCAATCGCTTTCTACCGATTGATTAGTCGATCTTGGGACTATAAGAATCAACTGTGATAACATGAATAAGTGACTTTCATCATTCAAGTGTTATTTTTTTCAATACACAAATTGTCTATCGTTGGCAATCCTCAATTTCGTTTTTGTCACAATCATTTGTGAAATTCAAGCGAAAATGGACGGAAAATTACCAACAAACTCTCTTTCTCACATGATTTTGTTAAATTTGCCAATGTACTCAAAGTATTCCTCTCTAATTTGCTCTTTCGCACGCCTTTACCTGCAATTAAGTTTGTTGAGAGTTTCCATAAATTGAAAAGACCAACAATGACACACTCAACACTGGGAGTTCTTCTTTCTTAAATATCCCACTAATGAGTAGAACAAACACCTCCGGCCATAAATTTTGCAAATTCCACATGCTATTGACAATCAAATGGATATCAAAATGTGTTTTCAATCGCCCAGTGTTTCACCTTGAGAATCACTATCATTCGCGATAATCACTTTTCGATCTCATTATGCTGTTCATGGTGCGTAAATTGCAAAAATGAATCGTTATGCTAATTGTATGACTGTCTCATTTCACAGACTTTTCTAATGTACAATTACAAGTTGATGTGGAATTAAGGAGAAAATTAGTTGTTTCGAGAGTGGGAGAAATGTATTTGCATGTTTAACATGTTTTGCGGTTAGAATCATTCTTTACACTCCTAAATTCAACAAAATGATCATCACACTGTGCGATGATTAATTTGCGGTTGTACTTTTAATGGTTAATTTCTCATAGAGTATTATCATCACGATCACTCGATTAGCCACTGATTGCTATACTGGAAGTGATTGTTCACAAATAGATTGAAAATTCCACCTTAATTTACTCTTCTAGGCAAACAAACTCACTTCCGGGACGATTTGAATGCTCTATGCAAAGAGGTGATAAGTAAACTTTGAAATTTGAGGCAAATTTTTTAAATACATCTTATGTTTCTTAGACAAAATTCACCTTGCTGATCAAACTAGCACGTGCCTTGTAAGCTGTTTTATTTATTTGTCTATAATTCTGAGAATTTTCCCATTAAAGTGCGCTCGTACTTTGTACTTTAAACAGGGGCGATGACAATTTAACGCGGCCTATAAAAGAATCAAGACACAGAGACTATAAAAGCAAAGGTGAATTGCTGCCTAATTGTAACTTACGACTTTTATTTCTTCTTTAATGTACAATAAATTTCAAGCATGAAATCACGATAATTGTGGCAATTGCAACGCATGGAAGCACCCTTTGGTTATTGATAAAAATTGTCGAATGGGACATGAATACAAATTCTTCTGTAATTAGGTGATAAAAGTGAGCGCAAAAAGTGCACTTGCGTCACATGGTGGGAAAAAGTGAGAGGAAAATGGAGTGTCATCGAATAGAGAATTCATCATCCAGAACAGTTAGAAACGCGTCAATAAAAAATCGATTAAAATTGAATCTATATTGGCTAGTTCAAGGTTGCGACAATGCCTTTTTTGCAGTCGAGGTGAAAAAAGCGATGGAACAAACATCTAACTCGAGGCGGGAATTCCACAATGACACGCCATCTGTTTGTAAACAGCCGAAGACCGTCAATTAAGAGGAGTTGAGAACACTTAAGATCCGCTAAGATGTGCACACACCCTCATTTGTCGCCCAGATAAGCGCTATCACGCAGAGACTCTTCAAAGATGATGACTTTTTATCAGTCGAATTTCCAGTGACTGCAAACGGCAATAAATTGGCTCAAGGTGGTTGATTAGAAGAAGAGTGCCTGACAATGAGCCATTCAAACGATCGAGGGACATGGATTTTTTTTTTTGAGAAAAACCAGAAAAACAATATAGATAAAAGATAGAATGTGAAGACATGCTTAAGGAAATTGTATAATGGGATGTTCGTGTCATTTTTATTATGTGAATCATCTTCAAATGAATGCAGCAATCGGACGTTTTCAATTTTTCACTTACATCTTATTAAGACTTGTGAAAAATTGTTGATGAATGCTGACGTGAGCGTGACTATTTGTATGGCATTAGGAGACTTATATGCAAAATTTATGTACAATCATTCGGTGTCAGTTTTAGTTGCTCGTAAATACACAAGAAAATGCTTGAGTTTAAAATCAAGATCATTGTTTCATTTGGTTGAATGAATTAAGAAGTTTTATTGCCATTTAAGACAACATGATAGAATAATTTTAGTATGTATAGTTTTCTGTAGTATTTTTAAGGTCATCATAGCGCTATAAAATTTAAAAGAAAAATCAATATTTTGACTGTTTCACGCAGTTTTTCTGAACAAATTCTTTATTTGTAATTAAGTCTGTGCGAACATTCCTGAAAAGAAAAGATACAAGAATTACTGTCAGTGTTAAATGGTAATAAGATTCTTATGTAAGCAAGAATAACACCCACACAGTTGTTGCAATCAATCTCACTTGCAACATTTCGGGTGAAAACCGTGCGATCTGGAAGTAAGAGCGCAAATATTTCGCATTCTAGCAGAATCAAGTGTCTCGTAAAGTAGTCAAAAAAAATGAGAAAATCAAGCTGTCTAGAATTGTGTGAAATTTTTGCAGGGAATATTTCACTCACGCATATGAGATCGAAAGAGTCTAGCTTTGACCTAGATCACAATTTTGAGGTCAATTAAAATTAGAGGGAAAATTGACGAATATGTTTGTTCACATGAATTTTTCACACTCTCAAAAAAAAATTTCCGTGGGAGAGGAAAACAATCTTGTTGATCACTTTCAGGTGAATTTTTATCGGGCGGCCTATTACGTCATCGATGGATAAATAGTGCGCCGTTGAATTTAAATGCGAAAAAGATCAACACAGTGCGCGCGCTTCATTGAGAAAAGTGTCTCTTTGGGTTTTATCTGCTCATTGAATTTCATGTTGGCTTTCGAGCAGACAATAAATTATTGGCGTGGCGTCACGTCAATGACCTCACGTGTTAAATTTATTATGTAGCCGGTGTTCGCGTGAAAGGCACGCCGCATGAACGAGTCATTAAATTTGCGCGTGCTGCGCCATAATATTGGGTTAAATGCAGTTTTTTCGGCTGCACCAACTGCCGACTTAGAATATTTGGGCTCTTCCGAGAAAGTCGACCGTCTACTGGCCTCTCCACGAAGCCACTTCCTCTGCACCCGAGCCTCGCCTTGGCTCTCTGTGCGCCTCTTGCGACAGTGATATGATTGTTTGAATGTGCCTTAGCAGGTTCCACACATAGAATTATATTCGTGTGTTTTTTTTTCGGTATCCAGCTGCTGTAAATTTGCTCACATTGCACACACTCGTCTCATGGAAAGTGACACGACGAGCATACAATCGGGAGATGGAAGAGTTTCTCCACACAAAGTTGCGGGAGGTAAAACTGGCGGAGACATTTGACTGAAATTCCTTAATGCTTTTTCTGCTCTACCTTCGCAGAAGGCAAATAGACAGGGATTTAGGACCATTTATGAGCATTTCGCTTGACATTGACTGATACTCTCTGTCTTGCTCTATATTTATCAGTTGCTTATTTTTAACCCATGGTTTTCATTCCCAAATATTCTGGTAATTTTTGGTTACAATGTAGCACAATTTGCATGTCGCTTCGCCAGTGGCGGAAGGAGGCAATTTTTTATTTTGGCCATGTCAGTTGCCGCAATTGCTCTAATTTGATAGATTTTCTATATGTTTGACTAATAGCTTGTCAAGTCGAACTCTTTTTTGTCTTTTTCACTCCACATCCTGCATTTATAGCATGTTTATTGTACATATTTCCAATAAACCACCGAAACTATTGTGTGGAGCTAATAAAAAAAAATTGAATTATCTATTAATGGTCACTTAGTGTCTCGCTGTATCTTTACAGAAATCCAATGAATTTACACAGTTGTGAAAGAGTTGAGTGAAATTGAATGGCAATCCATATAAAATAGAAGTAAAACGTGTATTTTTGTGTAAATATTTTGAAACTGAATCAAAGCTAAGATCTCTTCTAGTTTTCCTGATAAGGCGAACACATGCTTCCGTTTCGCTAGTTGAAAGAAGAAGGAAAAAAAACGAATGTTGATGGCATCTTATAGAGAGACGAAATAACAGTGGAAATACCCAACTGGAAATGTGTTTACAAACAAATTCCAATAAGGCGGTCAAGTAAGAGTCCAATATCGCGCACTGCAGACGTCCTACGCGCACGAGACCTAAGACCTTGCTGGCCTTTAGCATAATTGCTAATTCACTTCCGCGCTGAATGGGCAAGACTGCTTAGCACACCTACACCGCCTGAGCTGCACTTCCCTTTCGCAACACACGCTGTCAGTCACTTGATCCGCGCGATTGTCGTGTGACATGTCTAGTCGCGGGTATTTGCCTTGCCACTTTTTTCGGCTGGACGTGACGAGAGCTGGATGAAATACATATAGGTGCTGAGGCGCAGTGATGGCGAGATTAGAGATGCGCACACACACGCCCTCGAGAGAGTGGCACAGCAGATAAAGCTTGGAGCATTCGCGAGGACTGCCTCAGAGTGTCTCCGTGATCGGCCTAGTCCGGGTCTCGTCCGCCAGAAGACGGGCTTCGCATTCGCTTGCTTATGTCACTCAGTTCAGTTGGGAGTGATAACGCGGTCTGTTCGCAGCGCGAAACCACGTTTCTCTGGTGACTCTGAGTATTTTTAGTCCAATTTCACCGCGACAATTCAATAAATCCTGAATTGTATATATAGAGTGCACTGTGACGATTGGTCGTCAATGTGAAGGATAAAAAAAATCCGCAGCATGTGAGAAAAATGCTCGCGATCCGTGGAAATTCAGTAAGAACACCAATTCACAGGGTGTTCAGTGTTACATAAATAGGCGCCCCAATAGACACCCCACACGCTGTGGAAGAGTGGATTTGTGATTAAGTGTGAAAATTCCTGCTTCTCTCGCATCCCAAAAATAAATGGGAGAGACAATCGTGCCCAGTGACAACGGCAGAAATTCCTCTCACATCACTGCAGATCATGAGTTAACGTTGTAGGCAAGAGTAGTTGACTCTCCCTTATGCATCTCAATCTGTGATCAATTCGGCGGTTTAGGAAGAATCAGCAGATCGTAAATCATCAGCGATAAACATGGTGGCCACGAGTGAAAATCGCACAAGGAATGGCCACGTTCTCGTGTGGGAGCAACCAGGGCTATTTCAGAATGACGACGGCAAGAAAAAGAGTACGTTCATTGCGATATTTATGACCATTCGCCCATGTGAGACGCATCAGATTAGGCAAAAGTGCCCCGCTTGCCACTCGTGAGGTGTGATCTCAGAGCGTCAACGCCAGGTCATCACCAAGATAAGCCGCGGAGTTTCGCGAAAGCGTGACAAACGCGTGATTAGATTGAGGGTCAACTTTTGAAGATGAGCCAGCAAAAAGTGTCACTATAGAAACACCACTAAATTCGGGAAGTTAATTAAGTTCGTTCGTTTAATGAATTCGGCATATCTATGTAGACGTCACTGTTTTCAATCTCATGAAATTCAGACATGTGTATTCGGATACAGTTAAATCCTTTACAATTAACTGTGCCACTTTGGGACATATGATTTAAATTTTGGCAGAGAACGCGGTGGAAATGTGTTCTGATGGGCGGAGCATTCTAATGGGCGGAGCTTCGCAAGTGGCTAATAAAATATTTCTGGCAATTTGAAATAAATCAAGCACCGAAATGACCTATATTTTCATTAAATTGATACACCCTGCAATCAGTGTTGCAAAATAATAATGTGACAGATTGAAAACAGCTTTTATCAACAGCAATTAAGCGCTTATTATACACACCATTAAATTGCATTGCTCACCTCAGAATGATTACTAATTTTGTTGAGTGACGAAAACCCTTTTGCAAAGTGCTATAAGTCGTGACAAAATAAAAATGCAATCAAATTCTGCCACTACTCTGACAAAAAAGTGTGCATCCGCCTTAACACCAATTTCCCAAGCTGCACATGCTCAAAAATACCCATTTAAGTATTGCGAATTGTAAAATAAAATACATTAGATGATGATTAGCATGGAATGCGTAGGTGGCGTGGGGGTGTCGCATTTTCTCTTGCACAGTCCATCAAGTGCGTTTATTGCCGAGGCGCGCACTGTGAAACGTGCACCAAACATTGTTGAGACTTTTCCGCATAAATTATATCAATTCCAGCGCGTCTCATTTGCATTGCGAGATATTTGAATAAAATGGTGTGTTGTGCGCGCACGATGCCAATATTCATATCCGAAAAATCCACCTTCGGTTCGGTCATTAAGCCGGTCAAGAGAGGCTTCGGTGCGGTCTTGTTCTCAGCATTCCAACACCTGTGCTAATGCCATAAATTTGGCACTTTGCATCACTGATCTTTTCAGCATATGATCGGAATTTAGCGTGTTTTTTCGGCCAGAAATTTGTACGACTCTTCTCACAAAAAACCCCATTGATAGACGTTCTGTTTATCACGCAGTAGTTATGTTGTTTTCCATCTCAAAAACAGACATCTTCCAAATAATTATTATCTCGCCAGTTTGGGCGTGATTAATTATAAGCCATAAGACACAAAGTGGGAAAATTTTCCGCTGCACTATTTGAGTAAATTGTCTGGAGAAAACGATGCCCTCAGTTCATAATCTTCTACCGTCGCTTTTCCTGGGTGATAATCCCAGACATTGTTACAAGATTTCCAGCAATATTGTATCACATGGACAATTAATTGATTATAATGCACGCTATTTGCCATATTCGGGTGGAAAAGTGATGAAAACACGCCTCAAGAGATGACTTTGGAACATGTGCTTCTGCTATGAACACCGCATGTTTGCCTTATCGCGCTGGCAATTGACACTCATGCCATTGATAAGGCTCTGTGCGCGATGGAAAATGTTATAATTTCATCAATAAACACTCTTATCTCGCGCCTTAATCGCCTCACATTTCAGCCGATGTCAGGCTTTTGGCACTTCTTCCATGAATCTGCACACTGTTTGGTATTTGCATACTAACTTTGATCATTATTGCCTCGTCTCGGCCCACGCAGCGCGCATTGGCTGGCGGCCAAAGTGATTAAATGTCCTGCTTAGCGTGACATCTTTCGATTCCAATGGTTTTCTTGGAGAGACAGTGCGCAGGAGTGCTTAAGAAACTGCTGCATTGCAAGCCCAAAAAGCTCAACCTTGATCGTAAGAGAGGAAACTTTGCTGCGCTGAGAGCGTTTGCAGCTTAAAGCTCAGGCACTATTTATGGGCTGATAAGAAATCTTGTGACAGACGTCTCAATTGACATATTTATGTGACCGCTGCTTCGAGATACTGATCATGATGGCGGCTATAATAGGAAAAGCTGTTAAACCTCCGAGTTTGGAACGTGACTTGCCTATCAAAATGTGTTCTTACATCTTGAGCATTGTAACAATATGACACTGCAAACAGTTTACGCTGTGATAAGAGCGAATTAGCGCTCGTGAACTAGAATACCAACTAATATGACTAACGAGATGATTCAGAAAATTAGGTGATGTCTTCGTAGCAAGACAGTGGCGTAAGATCAAATCTTTACTTGCGATTTGATGACAATAGACATTCCAGGTGCATTTTCTTAGGACAAACTGTTTAACATGCGATTAAGCGACTAGAATAGAATGAAGGGCAATAAATTATCAGTTGCAATGTCTGCGATGACGCTTGAGACTCATATTTGTACAAAAAATTACAACGAAAGTCGTCTGAAAGTTAAATACAATATATACATTGGCGTCTTACAAGTAAAACTTGGCTAATTGTGAGATTAGGAAGGCATAAAGGGATATCGAAATGACTGTCTTTTCCAAATCTGATGCGATCTTTGTCGGCAATCAAGCGATAATTATGTGTTGAAAGGGAGTGAATTTAGGCCAACAATATAAGTTTTATTATTCGCAAACTTTGTACTTTGACATTCCCCTCATTTCCACTGCTGTGATAGCGGAAGAAAGCATGTTTTTATGAGATGAGTTGTTTTAAAATAGTCACATGCGCCACTGATAAGCGAGAGGAGTGCTTGAAAAACTCCCAATATTTACATTACAAGTTGCATGAAATAATGAGATTTTCGGCAACTTCTAATGCCTTGGAACCTTGCAATTTTTGCGCAAGGCGCCGGGAATTTTCCTGGACAGTGCGATGAGTGTCTCTGACGCAATTCTCTCTCTCTTCCGTCCTTGCAGAATGGTTGGGCACGCGCCACTTTGTCACATTCATGCTGTTCCTGGGCATGGCGAATGCCTACGTGATGCGCACCAACATGTCTGTGGCCATCGTGGCGATGGTGAACCACACGGCGCTGGAAACGGAGGTGGAGGAGTTCGATGACGAGTGTCCGGAGACGGACTACGGCAACAGCACGGAAACGGTGCAAGACGGAGAGTTCGCGTGGAGCACGAGCTTGCAGGGCTACATCCTGTCCTCCTTCTTCTACGGCTACGTCATCACGCAGATCCCCTTCGGCATCCTGTCGAAGCGCTTCGGCGCGCTGCGCTTCTTGGGCTGGGGCATGTTCATCAACTCAGCCTTCGCCTTCCTCGTGCCAGTGGCCGCCAGACAGGGCGGCTTCGGCTGGCTCATCGTGGTGCGCTTCATCCAGGGCCTGGGCGAGGGCCCGATCGTGCCCTGCACGCACGCCTTGCTGGCCAAGTGGATTCCGCCCAACGAGCGCTCTCGGATGGGCGCGTTCGTCTACGCCGGCGCGCAGTTCGGCACGATTGTTTCGATGCCGCTGTCCGGACTCCTGGCCGAGTACGGCTTCGACGGCGGCTGGCCGTCGATCTTCTACGTGTTCGGCATCATCGGCGTTGTGTGGTCGTTGGCGTTCGTCTGGCTGGTGTACGAGGATCCCTCATCGCATCCCACAATCGAGGAAGGGGAGAAGAAGTACATTATCAGCTCGCTCTGGGGAACAGCCAATATCACGGTGAGTGCTTGCATTCCGCAGCGCCCATTAGCACTGATTTGATTTCGCCTCAAGTGTTTACGAGCCCTATTTTGCCCCATCATTGTTGTTGCTGGATTGGAAGTTAATTGTGGCAATTGCGTCTCTTGCAGAATCCTCCGATTCCCTTCAAGGCCATCATCAAATCTCTTCCATTCTACGCCATCTTGCTGGCTCACATGGGCCAGAACTACGGCTACGAGACGCTCATGACGGAGCTTCCCACGTACATGAAGCAAGTGCTGCGCTTCTCCATCAAAGAGGTTCGTTTTCCTGGCCATCCGCAGCACAGCGCGCGAGATCTTCTGACCTGAAATCTCTTTGCAGAACGGCCTTCTCTCCGCCCTGCCCTACTTGGCCATGTGGCTGTTCTCGATGTTCATCTCTGTGATCGCCGACTGGATGATCTCGTCCAATCGCTTCTCCCTCACGGCCACCAGGAAGATCATCAACAGTGTCGGCCAATACGGCCCGGCCATCTGTCTCATCGTGGCATCCTTCACGGGCTGTGATCGCGTCCTCACCGTGGCCGTACTGACGATCGGCATGGGCCTCAACGGCGGCATCTACTCGGGCTTCAAGATCAACCATCTGGACATCACGCCGCGCTTCGCCGGCATCCTCATGGCGTTCACCAACTGTACAGCCAATCTCGCGGGTCTGCTGGCGCCCATCGCGGCCGGCAACCTGATCGAGGGCAAGGTTTGTTGCTTGCACAGCTGCATTTGGCGCTGAAGGTTTACTAATGCATAAAAAATCTCTATTTGCAGCCCACAATTGCCGCCTGGCAGGTTGTCTTCTTCATCGCGGCGGCTGTTTACCTGTTCTGCGCCACATTCTACAACGTGTTCGCGTCCGGCGTTCGACAACCATGGGACAATCCACTGAACGACGCGCCCGAGGAGCGGCGCTCCATCCCCAACGGCCACTCCACCGTGATCGAGTCGCGGCAATAGAGATTCCACGGACAATCCTCCACTCGACACAGTGAATTCGCTACGAATGTTTTAATGATAATTCTGCAAATGGCCCAGAAGATTATGAGCAATGTTGGTGTGAGTGAGAAAGAAATGTGAACGATGAGCGTGTGCACAGTAACAATTTGATAATAATTTAATAATATGATGAGAAAGTGTCTAAGCAGTGGATTATAATTTCTAGAGATTTTTATAACGATGCAAGAAATGGTAGGAAGACAAGATAATTTAATTACACTAATTGTAATTTGTAAATAGAACATTTAATTCATATTGAGTACTTTTCAAAGTGAAATTTGCATAGAAGAAATAAAATTCTTCGACAACTAAAGCTTGTTGTTTTGCATTGATAAACCCGCACATTGAGTCATCACAGATGCCAACAGTTTTCCACGTGTTTGATTGAATAATAATTATACCTGATAATAATTGTTATTTTCCTCTGGGGAATATTGAGTTCAGAAACGGATAAGAAAATTTCAACACTAGAATTGCAACAATTAAATATTTGGCGCAATTCAAACCTTTCCATCGTCTTTTCCGCCACACAATAACAGTGTATAAAAGCTCCCGCGAAAGCTCACGTCTCACTCTTCTTTATCGACTGCTGTGAAGACTTTCGCGGCGCTCTGGCGGTTCGCGACTCGACTGCAAGGGAAAAGCGCTGATCAATCGTGAGTCTTCCTCCGGTGTGCACATTATCAATGTTTTTCGCTAGCAATCTCAAGTGCAAGAGCGCGATAGAGTTTCCCTGAAATCAACAGTGGGGAATCTGATTGTGACGCAAATGGACTGAGTTGTGCAGTTGTTTAGCCAGCCGAACACACATCACGCTTTGTCGCTGGTGAATTTTCAGTGTGTGTTTATGTTTTCCTTTTTTCACGTTCGCGAACGGCGCATGAGCGGAAAATTCGGTGTGTGAAAAGTCTCGCATTTGCAGACGACCCCATTTCGATTCTCTCGTCCTCTGGGCCTGCCAAGGGGCGATTTTGGTGTGTTTTGGGCTCCTGCACAAAGTGGTCATTGATGTGATCTCTGAGGTGGTGAAGCTGGGCGAATTGCATACTCATCGCCAGTGGATTTTACGCGCGCGAATCGCACTTTGGCGCTTTTCTGGTATCGTCATCGTCATCGGTGGGGAATTCGGTCTTTCCGTCACACACTTCTGCTGCGGTCAGGCCGTCTCGCTCTGGCCGCCGCCTCGGCAATGGGGAGCAAGTGAAAGAGGGCTTCCCACTTGGTGGCCAAGACACTCGCTTCACTTCGATTAGAAAAGTCACGGCAAACGGACGTTCTCTGGTCACGAATCTCATCTCCTCGCGAAGGCAGTCTCTGGAGCCAAAACCAGTGGGATTGTGTAATCATTCTGTGCTTCAATCGCTCACCTCAGCCGTCCTCGGTGTGAATTTCTCTCAATCTCTCGTTCACGTGCGCTGGAGAATCGCCCTTGCAAAGGTGATTTTTGTGTCCAGCAAATCTCCCCGCGCCCCGCCAAAAGAAATATCCCCAAATTCTCGTGACGCGTTGTGAATCATTTGGCGCGCCACGAGCCAGCAAAACAACATCACAGTTAGGAGGAAAAGTCTCCGCGGAATCCCACTAAAATCCCCACCAAAACACACGCGGGAAAACCCTCCCAAACGTGAGCCTCAGTCACTCAAGAACAACCACACAGTGCAAATCCGACGCATTCATTGCATAAAATATTCTCAATTTCCATTGGAAAAAAGAGACTACAACTCCTAACACAAACACCATTTCAACATTCAAACACAACCACTCTCTTAAGCAAATATTTATCGGACTGGTGAATCGAATTTACGTGGAATAACATTCTTCTTGCTCTCTCGATTCCCCAAGCAAAGTAATATCAAGTGTTGAACGTTGCCGAAAAAGAGCGCGCGCTAAGAGGTACGATTTTATCTAGAAAATCGTGCAGAACATACGCCTTAATTGGGTGGAATTAAGACAAGTTTTGTGGCCGACCAGGCGTCGAGATGGCTGAAGAGGAACTCGAGGGAGAGCACCAGGAGAACAAGTTCGCCCTCCGCAATCGCGGGCGAAAGGGCGCCTTGAAGAAGAAGAACATCTACAATGTGAAGGATCATCGCTTCATTCCGCGCTTCTTCAAGCAGCCAACCTTTTGCTCGCACTGCAAAGATTTCATCTGGTGAGTCCATTTGTATTATTATTGCTCAAATTGAGAGTTCTCCGCGCTTTCGTTATTCTTTCCTCACTTTCTTCTGGCAGGAAATGACCTTTGGATAAGGTCAACAGGGAGTGTTGAAAAACTGTGGGAAAAATCACAGATTTCTTTATTATGGATGTCCTAATAATGTTATATCAGAAATGATTTCCAATCAAAACTCCAAAACAAGTTGTTTTGATATTACTCAATTCCACTTTTACAGAGCCGTGCTTATAAGGAAAATGCATAACATTTCGCCTAATTCGAAAAAGAAGAGGACTGAAGAGCCAGGAAATAATTGATAAAGGAGTATTTTGAGCTTAATATTGTATAAAATATTCCCATTAACACTTCGATGGCAAAGTTGATCAAAATTTAAAATGCCAATCTTCATTTTTAGCACAAATACCAAGGCTATGTATTGAGACGATATTTTTCGTTTCCGACCAGTTTTCCTCTAATCAAAGCCCCATGTTTTATCTACGTGCACAAATACACATTGTTCTGACTTGGCAATTCTTTTCCGCACTGCCATAAAAAGTGCTAAACTCAAAATTGAGAATGACGAAGCGCTTTCCGTCCAAGATTTTTCCACACACATAGAATGAGAGCAGCGAGAAAAAAACTCCCCATATTCTCTGTGTAATCAGCAGCAATTGTCTGCCGACGCACAGACACAATTCCCTGGAGAGCGCACGACTTCCATCTCCCCTTGAGACACGGCCATCAATGCAAATTGAATTAAGACGAGTGGAGATTAAGTTTTCGAATCCAATGGCGAGTGAAAACACTTCCAAGTAAATTGGAAATGTACGGGCGCGAGCGCGGGGAAGGGCATGATTTGGGGATGCAAGAACTTCCGGTGCGCAAGACACGGTGCTGCAACTGGTTGCATACAAAAGACACTGTGTGCCCTACTTTCCCAATGAATGAATCCCACAGAGCTCTCTGTGTCACTGCAGGGAAGTGCGCGAATAATTTAGCCTCCCCATCGAGATCGATATATGTGCATTGCCTGGGTTCTGTGCCTCTTTAGCGCCTCGCAAAATCACCACTTGTGCTGCTGCACCTGGCCGAGCGCGCCAACCATTGAGAAGGGCGCGATAATTCAATAACAGGAGTGCTAATTAGCTGCCAAAGCCAATTACAAGACACTCGATTTTTCTTGCCCTCCAGTGGCGTGATTTGCAAATATTGCCGCAAGATGCCTGTTCGCCGGACGCGCTCAGCAATTTGCAATGCGAAACCACATGGCAATATAGTTTGGATTTGTGGAGACTAATGAGCAAAGTTAGTGACCTCAAATTGCAGCCATATCGAATGTAGCCCGGATGCTGAAATATCCATCTTCCGGAAGCTTCCAATGTCTTCACATAGTGTTAAACTGCAAACAACACACTAGAGACAGTGAAAATAGACCACGAAGAGAATATTTTGTTATATATTACAGAAATCCAAAGGGAGACTGTAAATTGTTCTAAGATCGAACATAACCTCAAAAGTATTAATTTAAACTTGAAAAATCTTTCTTAAGAACATTTTTTGAACGATTTTGACTCTGAATAATCAGTTTTGAGTTCAGTGCCAAGTCATAACAGATAATTTTGTGATCTAGATAACTTCCAAGCAGTCTTTAAAGATCTCTTAGTGGTATTTTGAGGTTATGGTCGAATGAGATATCCACAAAAGCAGGTTTCTGTGTATTCTTACAGAAATACCGAACAAAAACATTATCAATTCTTAGTAAATTGTCCTTAGGTAGAAAGGAATGCCATTCGTCCATTCCATTCCATTCCATAAGTTTTAAATGCAATTGCTCCTCATGTGCTATTAAATTTTGCGCCACTGTTAGTTTTGAAACCCAGTCAAATATAATTAAAACGGAATTCCTCTGCCAGTTTAGTCACATTCTCTTGCAATTATGAGACATTATTATGTCAAAAAAGCCTAATCTCGCACCAGACGAGATTAAATCGAGAGGTTTGTGTGCTCAAGAGTAAACGGCTTGATGCAAGAGCCACAAATAATCTCACTAATGTGGCATTTAAAATTGCGGTTGTGCAAATTGCAGTGAAAATTCTGTCGTAGAGCACGCGTTCCACTCTTGTCATGATGAGAATTTCTCATTATCGCCTCCACAATGGCGAACAAAATTGCTGGACAAATTGAATTTTCTGATGACCAAAAAACATAACGTCATCCAGACTGCTTTTCATCCCTTAATTGTGGGCAAATTTCGAGAGTGTTTGGGTCATCAGAGAGAAGTATACATTATGTATTGAGTGATCGCAAAAGGGGCTTCAAAGGGAGAAGCGGCAAGAGAACTTGCTATGAAATTTCCACTTTTTTCCCATTATCATGTCACTCCATCTAAACTGGATTCACATATAAATCAACATCGATGACAATGTGAACCTCTTCCTCACTTCAATTATTTCAATCTTTCTCCTCTTTGTCTTGGAAAATCAATAAAGATTCTCCACTCGTTTGCCACACAAAATGACTTCATTCGCGACCATCTCTTTGGCATCTTATAGGGAATATATACGAAAAATTCATGCCGCCTCAGAAGAATTCACTCGCGGCGCTTCGGACTCCAGAATGTCGCTGGAATTATGGCGCTTTTTTGTGGCTCAGAGTCCAGAGAAAACAATCCGAATGCAGCATAATTGGATTGTGTCAGTTACAAGGCATCGCTAATTCACTCTTTCCACACCAACTCTTGCCGCTGAGCGATCGTACTCAGGTTTCTCTCTATTAGCACTACATTATTCACTTGTAACTCAATCATCGCAATCCGTACGTCAAGATGTGAGAAATGACGATCGCCTCACTTTGATAGCCAGCACTTTGTCCACACTTTTCACAAATATATTGGCTTAGTGAAATTCACCCAAACCTCGTTCGAAACCCAATGAAGTTGCAAGTTTAATTTTAAACAACCTTCAAGTCCAAATCTCATTTCATTGCCAATGCGAAATGGAGAAGAGGAGTGAGTGAAGAAAAAACACACACACAATTCCGGCAACTTGTTTTCAGTTTTGTGGAGAATTAATGTGTGAACCTTCCTCTTGAGCACATTAATTTTATGCTTCGTCGACGGTTCAACGCATGAAATGCCGAATTTTCGCGGAAAAAAGACTGTGTGTCATTAAATTGGGACTCCCAATGGGGTGTAATTAATTTACCGAATGCTGGGCAAACGGAGACTGATAAAATAAATATAATGGGAATGTTGTTTGCATTTCAGCTGGATTTTTATGTGTGATAAAATATACCATTTCTTCCAAACAATTCAATTTGTTCATCCACTGAGCAAATAAGCAAACCCGACAATGTGTGAATTTTCGAGACATTCGGCGAGCATTGGAACGCTTCGAATTTGTCAATTTTATAGGCTCAGCTGAAAGTTTACCGCCAAGAAGAAGGCGTGCTTATCAGTTTGCATTCCAATTGTATTGTTTTCTCATCATTTATTTTCTTAAAACTGAAACTTGTGTCGTGAGAAAGAGGATTTCTCCTACAGATAAAGCCTAAAAGCTTTCGGATTCTAAGAATTCTGTTCGAATGCATTCCCGCACTCTTTGCTCTCCCGTTGGAAAAGGGAAGAAAAGTTCGCACACGATAAGTGGCTTTTTGTGGCATGTAAAGTTCTACATAACAAATTTCCTCGCCAAAAAACATACATATAAGTACATATATTTCAAATGGATGGAGAATAAAAATTTATTCACCGACGAGAAACATATTTTCTCAGCGCGAAAGAGAAAAGAATTCAAGTCGTTTTTTCCATATAATTACTTTATTGGCATAATTCGAGACCGTGGGGGATTTTTCATATGCGGAAAAAGTTCTCTCTTTCACAACTTTTCACAACAGCGTCGCGATATATATATATTTTTTTTGCAAAAGAAAGAGGGAAGGAAAGAATGTCATCGGAGAATGTTACTCCTTGGCATTTTATACCACGCACGTCATATATTGGAATTGTGTGGAATAGAGAAAAGGGCTTTTCCACTAATGTCACAGTCACGAAAATTCACAATGGCACGCCTTTTTCATGGCTCAGGACATCGCCAGTCAATTTCCACGCGATAAACATCTCGAAACCCCTTTGGGTTGTGTGCTGTGAGGCTGCGGACAAGTCCTCAAAGCCACCACGAAAGCCGATATCGTGTTTAGGCTAATTTATCCTCATTTGTTTGCACTTTCACAACTACAAATGGCGGCTTTATTGCTTGCCAAACTTTTAATTAGCATTTAACCATTTCGCCCAACTCTGCGTCGCTCCGCACTTTTGCCACCCTCATCTTCAGCTCACCAGCCGGCACTCCAGTAGCATTGTGGGGCTACGGGGGTGAGAGGATCTTCCACCAAATTGACCACATAACAGAGATTTTTTCTTCCGACCACTTACCTCGCCTGTGATAGAGGCTAAAAATAATATTGGGGAAGTATGAAAGCTTCTTTCTCTCACTCTCGCCGGCTTTTTATTGCCCGGGCGAGCGACTGAGGCGGAGCTGCGAGGCAATACAGTAATCAATCATAGTGCTCTTTATTTGCAAAGTATTGATCATGCCACCAACGCTGACTCCCAATTTACATACAACAGGAACACGTTCACTCGCGGCGCTTGAAATCTGAGGATTGCTGCCACATTTGAAGCTCTCCGGCGAGCTTTGAAGTTCCTCCAAGATACTTTTCAATGAGCCTGCACTGGAGTTTTGCACTTGAGATTGTTCTTTGATATTCAAATTCCCAGTGCTAATTCATAATGCTACATTATACTGACGAGGAGTAGAGTTTGCGTGGAAATTAATCAAGGGGGAGATATTGTGGTGAGCTGGAAGTAAAGTCATTCTTGTGCCTAAGATATTATTTTACATTTACTGGCACAATAAGAATGAAATCTGTTGAAGATGACAAGTTTTCAATTTTAAACGTACACAGTTTAACCGTATTATCTCCCCCTTGGAATAAAT